TCAATCCAATCAATCAATCAATTGAATCAATCAATCCAATCAATCAATCAATTGAATCAATCAATCCAATCAATCAATCAATTGAATCAATCAATTGAATCAATCAATCAATCAATCAATCCAATCAATCCAATCAATCAATCAATCAATCAATCAATCGGATCAACCGGATCAACCGGATCAATCGGATCAATAAATCGAATGGATCAAATCAAATGAATCAATTCGATCGAATGAATCGAATCAAATCAATCAAATCGATCAATCAATCAAACAATCAATCGATTGATCCATCGATCCATTGATCAATCAATCAATCAATCAATCAATCAATCAATCCATCCATCCATCAATCAATAGAATCAAATGGAATCGAATCGGACCGAACCTAAGCCAAACCAAAACCAAACCAAACGGAACGGAACCGAACCGAACCCAACCAAACAAAACTGAACCGAACTGAACCGAACTGAACCGAACTGAACCGAACTGAACCGAACCGAACCTAAGCGAATCAAATCATATGGAATCAAACCGAATAGAACCGAATCGGATTGAATCGAATCCGATCAAATCAAATCTGATCGAATCACATCGAGTTGAATCAAATCGAGTCGAATCAAATCGAATCCAATTGGATCCAATCCAATCAATCACTCAATCACTCACTCAATCAATCAAAACTGATTCAATCAATCAATCAATCAATCACCCAACCCATCACCGATCGATCAATCCACCCATCAATCCATCGATCAACCCATCAAGCAACTGATCAACCAATCAATGAATCAATCAATCAATCAGATCTACCTATTGCCGTCTATCTACCTAACCAGTTGATCAACCAAACCTATCGACCTATCCTCCGTATCTATCTATCTAACCACCAGTCAATCAATCAGATCTGTCTACCCATCCTCGTCTTTGTACCGAGTCGGCAGTACCTACCCACCCACATAGCTGCCTACTCACCTACCTGCCTCCCTACTATCTCTCTGCCAATCCCTCTATCCATCTATCTAGGTATGCGATTTCTAATTGTTGACCAATTGGAATTTGTGTGCTTCTACTCACCAATCCCTCTTCACATCCAGTTGCCTTTCTCGTAATGGTCTGTGCGTCTGTCTGCCCATCAAATTACCAAACACATCCACTCTACCAATCAATCTGTCAAACCATTTCGCTACCCGCTTGTATATCCCTCTTGTGGACATATCAGCCGATTGGTAGCTATCTATCTGGATAGCAACCTAGGCAAACTAACGCATCCAGAAAACTTAATGAACGATGGAGACGTGCGGCTCACGATGAAAAGACAGGTTGATCGTCGATTTCAAATCGAATAGGCGGACATTGATAAGGATAATATACAAGAAGTGTTGAGCTGCTGATGTTGTTTAACACCTGCAAGTCAATGCCAACGTGAAAAGGACACGGCTCTAAAGGATCACTGAGTAAAGCCAATCAGCCAAATAAAAGAAAAGCTAGAAATGAAAATGTCTCAAAAGAGACCAAAGGATATTGCCCTGCTGCGTGCACCGCTGCGGACCGCAGACAACAATCCATTCAGTTCAGCGACTGGACATCCATGGATAGATCATGCTGCATAAGAGACAGAGGGCATCCTGCTCATACACAGTTGCTAATCGCAAATGCAAGTAACATCGAATAAGCTCACATTCAGTCAAAACACTCTGAAGTGAGTAATACACATGTCCCAAATGAGAAGATATTATCTATCCCCAGCAATGCTCTCTGAAAATTTCTGGCATATATCCTGATGTACAGAAGCCAGGGAGAACCAATTAATTCATCATCGCAATCAAACCTCACTAAGTACCAGCATGCCAGTGGAGCTTCCCATGCTGGTCCCCTCTAATTCCATCATCTAATCTGCTGCCGTAAGTCCCAGCAGCATTCAGACGTTGGCCTGGATCGCATTTACGGTCCAACTAATCAAAGATCAGATGAACGCCACATCAAAATTGTATTGCTGTTCAAATCAAATTAAACTCAAATCAAATTAAACTCAAATCGAATTAAAACTCGAATCAAATTAAAACTCAAATCAAATTAAACGCAGACAAACCAAATGAAACGCAAATCAAATAAGAATTTATACTCGAATCAAAATCAAACTCGTATCGAAATTAGACTGAAGAGTCTCAAATCAAAATTGAATTCAAATCACATCCGATCAAATCGGATAAGGTCAAATGAAATCAAACCATTTACCATGCACGGTCATTGGTGTACTGAAAGCAAACCAACATCTTTAGGGATGCGACGCATTTGAAACAATGAAGCATCCTGAAAAGAATATCAATTATCAATGAGCTGGCTCTGTCAACACATAACTAAGAAAAATGAAAAGGATAAGCAAGTGAGAGAGGAGAGCCCATCATATTATACGACCAAAACACAACTGGCCGACAGTCGTACAAACGGTAAAGCAAATCAAATCATAAATCCACTTGAAAGTTAAATTGAGAGCCAGTCAAACAGCAAACCAAATCAAATCATAAAATCGATGAAAACTCGTGTCCAATCGATGAAAACTCTTGAATTGAGGCGTTGATGCAATCAACACGTGTCCAGTCGATGAGCACATGCTGATAACATCAACGACTCAAAAAGAATCAGTAAAGAGAAAGAATGTCTGTCAGTCTGTCTTGTTACACCTGACTGTACGATTAATGACCTGGGCATCTTCGTGAGAATAGCTCGGTCTTTCTCTCTCTCATCTCGTAAGAAAAGCGGGCAGAGGGGTGCATGCACGCATCGATGAAGAATACTCGTTCAGCGCTGGTGCATTTGGCAGGAGGGTGTTGCGACCAGCCCCTACCTTTACCTGTGAGGGGTGTCGAGATCTCTCTAAGGAAGAACTCCACCCCTGCCAGTAGTAATCTGCAGAGCCTGATCCAGTGAGCAAGCTAGGTTGCACTGCTGGACAAGCAAAAGGCAGGCCAACCAAAACTTCTAATCGCCCACGACAATAACTGCACTATGCTCTCAAGGACTATACAAGGCTCGAACAGACCAGCCAAAGCTTCTAAACGCTAAGGACAAAAACTACTCAATCCTCTCAAGGACTATACAAGGCCCAAACTACGCTGTTGTCTAGGGGCTTCCCTATCATCTCTTTACGACGGTGTAAACGTCCCAACTACCGTCCCTGTATTCCAAGTCCTAATTATTCTGTACTCTTTTTCTTGGGTTTCGCTGTAGCCTCTCAAGGCTTTAGCTATTGTCTATACGATACAGTATCTCTGGCATATTATCGTCGTCTCAACTTTTCGGTCCTCTCTGCAACACAGGATTCTCTAGATTACGACACCATCATTTGATCCAGGAACCTACTCACTCCTCGATCGCTCACTGAGTGCAAGCGAGCAGCACACCAAACCTACTCACTCCTCAATCGCTCACTGAGTCCAAGCGAGCAGCACACCAAACCTACTCACTCCTCAATCGCTCACTGAGTGCAAGCGAGCAGCACACCAAACCTACTCACTCCTCAATCGCTCACTGAGTCCAAGCGAGCAGCACACCAAATAGGGCTAGAAAGACCAGACCTAACAAACGTCAACGGCCTGAGTGCAAGCGAGCAGCACACCAAACCTACTCACTCCTCAATCGCTCACCGAGTCCAAGCGAGCAGCACACCAAACAGGGGTAAAAAGACCAGACCTAACAAACATCAACGGCCTGCGCTCCTTTCCTGATTCCCTGCTCATCTATCCACTCAATCTTGTACAGGCATGCCCCCTCCCCAGCAACCCCAAGCAGAGCCACTGCAAACTTGTACTTACAAATTAATTTGATCCGCGATGTGCTCAATTGCCCACTGAATCCGAGTCAACCACGGGGGGTATGTTGGACGAGGAACCAACTGTAGCTGGAACATCTCCCTCGAGAAGGATCCAACATTTTCTTTCAACGCCATGAGCTGTTCGATGAACTCGGCGCTGGCCATGACATGTTTCAGGTCGTGAGCATCTGACCAAAGCTTAGTTGTGAGCTGTAGTTTCCTCTGCTTTGAGTCAATTGGCACGCCCCACTTTTCATAAAGGTCCAACCTTTCCTCCGGAGTGAATCTCTGCTTCATCCGGCGGGCAAACATCTCTCTCTCCCTCTTCATCACCAGGACAGCCCCTTGTAGTGCTGTCGGCTCCTCCTTGCCCTCCTCCGTGCATGCCATAAACTGATCCCGCAACCACAGAAGCCGCCGTTTTTCCACCTCCAGGTACATGGCATCAATCGGATCGCCAGTCAGCGTAAGCAAAAAGTGAGTCCGATGAAGAAGCGACACATGGCAGGTGTCCCAGAGCTCGATGATCTCCTGCCGCTGCTGTTCGTACCGTGCTGGCCAGGAAGGCATGGGCGACTCGCCCTCTTCGTCATCCTCAAATGAAATGGATGCGCTTCTCCTTGCGTCCGCCTCCAGCTCCAAAACCTATCAACAATTCAGACAAATAAACAAGTCACTCACTTCAGCACGCACGCGCAAAACAAACTTTGTGGAAAGAACAGGAGAGAGGGTGGAGAACCCACCGATTCCCAAGGAACTGGTGCAATGGTGATATTCTTGAAAGCTGGAAAAACAAAATTGCAATAGGGGAGACAGAACCAAACACGAAACGAAATGGTATAAAGTAAGAAAACAGAAGGGAGAACGGAGAAAGACTCCGTATGCAGTCTCACCTTCATGTGCACGGCCATACAAACCCACAGGACTACCCCTTCTTCACCCGAATACAACATACGGTCATTATTGCTGCTTTTAGACTGAAAAAAGATACCACAAATACAGCTATAATGACCGTATGTTGTGTTCGGGTAAAGAAGGTACCCACTAATGGGGGTTAGGGGAAATGCAGGGAGTAGGGAAGGAATCGCCAAAAGAGACAGGGCTAAGGAAGAGAAAAAACAAACGAAGGAGAGATTGGAGTACAATAACATTAGGAGGCGAAATGCAAGCTATGTGGGGATGCAACGTCAGGAGTAGAGTGTGGAGGCATTCAGAGGGAGGGTAGGTAATGGTGGAAGTATAAGTTACCCCCAAAAAATGAACTACCAAACAGAATGAGAGATAAGGGTGTGAAAAGAAAGAAAGAAAAGAGGATAGATGAGTACTGACTGGATTTCTTGTGAACAGACCTTACAGACAAGGAGTTGTTTCTGGTAATGAAGCTTGGCCACTCGTTCTTTGAGATCCGTCACATAGTTCCGTATGCTCTTGATATTCTCCTCAGCGGCAGTCTTGAACAAGGTCTGCATACGCCTGATATCGACAGAGGCACGCTTTGTTGGGTCCTTCGCTGCAGAGACAGCATGCACCCCATCACTGGACTGCAAGGACTGCCCGGAAGGTGGAAGCTGCTCTTCAAGAGGCACGTTTTCATCCTTTTCACACAGCAAACCACCACTGTTCCTCGTCTTCCCAGCCATTTGCTGGGAGAATGACCGTGTAGGAGTGGAAGGACGTCTCACGTGCATCGTGCCACCATGCTGCCCTGATTCTATTCCTGAAGACTGCCGCAGTAATGTAGCGGACGACCTGGCACCCGAGGAACGGGTCTTTCGAACTGATGATCGCATTTTGTTTTCTTCCTGGGGCTGACAAGGCGGACACATCTTCTCAAGGGAGTGTTGGACACCTGCACAGATTACGTTCAAGCAAAGTATTGGATACCCATCCACATCCATAAGTAATGACACATACCCAAGAAGACGAGTGCACATTGCTGCAGTAGACCATGCATTCCTTTAAACAGTTGAAAGTAACAGTCAGTGAATCGCAGGCATGGGACATGGAAGACCCTGCCCCGCTTTAGGAGGAGTGGGGTCGCTCGGGCAGGACGACAGACGGAACACCCTGCCTTTGGGTTGGATTGCAAAACGACCTTGGGTGCATGCTCTGTAACAGGAAAGGACAAAGGTGACGTAAAGCACTTCAGCATCATCAACAGCTTTACATAATACGTACAAAGCTGAGAAGCAGCTTTACATAATACGTACAAAGCTGAGAAGCACAAGGAAATCGCCACGGGAGTTCACGAAGAAGTTGAATCAGTGCTGCCATATACATGCAATTTCTCTGAGACCGAAAAGAAGAGAAGAAACGTGACTTGCATGCTCTGTAACAGGAAAGGACAAAGGTGACGTAAAGCACTTAGGCATCATCAACAGCCTTACATACAAAGCTGAGAAGCACAAGGAAATCGTCAAGAAGTTGAACCAGTGCTGCTTTATACATGAAATTTCTGTGAGACCGAAAAGAAGAACACAAGGGAAAGAAGAGAAGAGAAGGAACGTGACTCCCCTCTTTGTCCTCGTGAGCAGAGAACGGAACATCGTGTCAAAGAAGAGCCTCCCATGATTAACTCTATTCCAGGATAGACTGCAAGCAACCTCCCAGGATAGAATGTTTCAGAAACGGGGGCGATTTACTAGAGCATGTGGGGAAAAGAGCAAAAGGAAGGAGAATCAGAGGGGGGACTAGACTTATGGTATCAACAACGCAAGTAGCCATCCACTCGTTAACGGTTACCAAGAACTCCCAAAGCAAACACCAAGTTCGGTGCCTGGACTTATCAATTGAGATTCAACAGAGACAGATGCATCCACAAACTGTTTTGTCCTCAAAGTGACAAAGGCAGTCAAAACAGGCGACCACTTTGAGAGGACAGAGAGGCAAAGAGGGTGCAAGGGCGATGTCACGGGGTTTGGAAAAACTTACAATCAAGCTTTTCTTCCAAACTGGCCACAGCATCATGAGTTTTCTGGTCCTTGCTCTCCCTTCCTGGGCAGCACCATAGGGGTGTCGTTGTGTCCTTCAAGCTCCGTCGTGCGCCCTCGCCTTCCATCAGTATTCCACCTTTCCCTGAGCGTAACCCTTGGATGCTCTGGATCTCCACCTGCAGTTTTGCAATTGCTGCAACATCCTGACCAGAGCTGACCTGTGCCAGCCTTAAGCATTCGATCTCCTTTTGCAGGGCCTCCATTGCGCGGCTGGCATCCTCCCCAAGCTCATCCTCCATGTGTTCGAGCTTCTTGATTTCTTGAACAAGTGCGAGTGAGTTTCGGCTTTCTGTTCTCCGGCCTCTCCGTCTGCTCTCCCGTGCCTCCGAACCAAAAGGTTCTGTAGTCGGCGTTGCCTGCGGACTCGGCCCTGCCCGAGGTGGTCGATTTTCATCCTGGCCAACAAGGTGACCAGCAGTTGACACCACCACACCACCCTTTCGCTGTTTTCTGGAAGCAGACCTGAAATGCATCGATTGCACAAAAAGATGCAAAGCACAAACTTAACACCAGAACGAAGTCGGTGGTCTACACATGGGCACCCAATAGGAGTGCATCGGTTGAGTACAGCATCCTTACGACACGGCCATTTGTTGGCAGCACAGTATCTAGTCAAGCAGGAGAGCATTTTCCAAATTCGACCGAGGACTCTGGGCATCAGAAAGAGCCCCAAAGAAGTCATTTGAGAGGGATTTTGTAGGAGAGACATCAACGATGGAAAACTCTGAACCTTAAGGCAAGTAAAAAAAAAAAAGACACCCTTCAGGCAAGTACTCTCCTGATACTGCCAAGAGGGGTGGCGTGACTGCCCCAGGATAGTTGTTTGCGGTCTGCATCTCGGAGAATAACCCTGTGATTCAGGCTTCCCTCTCCCTCCAACTATACAGCTTCAGAATCTTCCTCACCCCTCTTCTTCCAAGTTGAAACGGTTTTACCTTTTTCAGTCACAGATGCGGATCGCAGGGCTCGATCCCCAGACCTTACCTTACCCGTGTACAGTATCAAGCCGACCCTGTGTGTCTTGAACCCGTGACCTGTGTGTTAGTAGTTGAAAGTTGTCTGTCGTAGGTCTGAGTAGTTGTCTGGTCTTGAACCTTAGTCCTGTCGAAGTAGGGGTCCTACCTGCATAGGGGTCATAGTTGTTATGGTTCTGAAAGGTCAAGGTCGTAGCTGCCACAGTCCTGAAAGGCCAAGTCCGCAAACTTCCGGAAGGTCCGGAAGTGGCCTTTCAAGTTTCTTCTCACGTTATACGCATCAGCTGGAAAATGGTCCGAAATAGTAAATACCAGCAACCATATGAAGCCTATGGGGTTCAACAGCAAAACTGAATACGCACCAGCTGGAAAATGCCCGAAATAGTAAATACCAACAACCATATGAAGCGTCCACTCAAAGTTTTTTGCACAGAACGATGGTGAGAAATCAGCAGAACAATGAAGGAGATGGGCATCAGCACAACCACATAGTACAGCAATTTAAAACAATAGTAGCACTGTACGCAGCAAATAATTCAAAAAAACAAAAACTGCAAGAGAGATTGCGCAGAACAAAGCACTCACCTTTGAAGCATCTTCTTAACGGCATCCGGGCCCCACGTCTTCATCCCCTTCGGCTTCTTCATACAGGTCAAAACACATTAACAAAACCGAGTACGAATGCAAAAAACCAATGTCAGCACTGTTTGCATTTCCTCTCCACATCTTCTATATTCGCTAACTGCTTATTGTTCTACTCCTCATCGCCAGGACTGTTATTCCCAACTGAGTCGCGAACATGGACAGAGCATCTTTCAGACCGACCATACAATACATACGTCAAAGAAAGCCTCAGCATCGATCAATCACAAAGTCAGCAGTTTTCTCACCAGATCTGAATGTTGAACAAACTGATCAGCACTGATCTAGGCTACCAGAGTGGCCCGGGTCCACTTTCCCGGCCGGGCCAAAAAGAAATAAATAAATAATTTAATAAATAAATAAAAATATATTTTTAATTTAATTATTTCTATTTTAAATTTGGTAAAGAATTTCGATGTGACCCTGAGGCAAAAGTTGTTCAGTTTATTTTTCTGCATAACATAGTTTCTTTTCGGATTTTTTGGAGTTTTTTTTTGGGGGGGGGCTGGGACCTTCCCTAGTCCTTGCACGGCCGGGCCGCCCGGGAAAAGAGGGTGACCTGGGCGGCCCGGCTGGTAGCCTAGGCACTGATCGATATATACATAGCTTCACGTCCTCTTATTCAAAATCTCTCAACAGCAACTCAGCTGACCACCCTCGAGGGATGTGTGTGGCACGGTGCAGCATGCTGCAGTTGGTTTATCGCACAGTGGTCACAAGGATCATATAAGACAATCCTCCTTCCTCAAATAAACCTCACCTCCATTAAATAAGAAAGCAAGAATAAGCTGAGAGGAGCAGGACTGTGGCCAGTGGAATTAGCAAGGGCCTTCCAGATTAAGTATCATAGGCTAACTTAAGCAGGGGTGAGAGGGGGTACATCCTTCCACAAGGAAGCAATCAATGCCGCAAACTCGGGCCTCCCAGCCATAATTGTGAGGGGCGTGCGTGAGTTACCTATGTATTCAATTGACTTGCCGGAGGAATAGGAACTGGACTGTTGCCCCCCAGAATGGCAGGAGCCAGAACCAAGAGGTTCTGATTAAAAAAAAAAAA